AATAGCCCCGAACAGTAGCTTCTCTGTTTTCCCCGCCTGTAATTACATACTGACTGAGCTCTGCTCGAGTGGTGATTCCCTGACCACAATTCTGTCGCCCATAAGTATGCTCATGAAATTACCCCTTGCCGCCCAGACGGACTGCGCTGGAGCAAAACGGGATTCCGACAGACTCACAAAGCGCGTCTGTCTGGTTGTGCTGGGCCCCCAAGACCATGACTACTTCTGTACAGGCTCTCGTAGTGGCATGCCGTAGACCTAGGCCTTCATTCTGCGTCAAGCAGCTCGCTTGGGCAGTCGACTGGTGCATGGGGGGGAGAAATAGTAAGATTGTTTCTATGGAACACAGCAACACAGAAAATCGACGCATTTCTCACTATAATAAATCAAACGCGCTCAAATTAATCGACAAAGACAGGGGAGACAGGAATGGCCATGTCCGGCTTATCAGCCGTCATCAGCCAGTCCCACCCTATCCCAATTGTGAACTACCTGGGTTTCGAAACAGGGATCTTTGACTAACAAGCCAAAAATGGCCATTCCGGTCACCCTTGTCTTTTTCGGTATCACCTTATCTGCATATATCACTAATCGCTATGCGACTGCCTGCAAGGGTTTTAGTTTGAGCTCCAAGCCACAACGGGACAAGCATGTTCCGTAACCTGATCATTGGCGCCATAATTAATATTCCCGATCACAACCGACAGGACAACGAGCCCGTGGCTCATTAGTAGAGCGTTCGACTCAATAACCAAAGATTCCGGGTCCGAAACCCAAGTAGTTCACAATTTGGATTTGTTTTGACTGGCTGATGACGGTTAATAAGCCGGAAATATCCATTCCGATCTCCCTTGTCTTTGACGGTATCACTTTATCTACAACACGATAGTTTTAAAGCGCGTCAATTTGCTTACAGTAAGGGGATGCACTGAGTCGACCTCACTCTCTCTCTCTCTCTTCCCTCTGTATCAGTCCGCTGTCCAAACCGGCCACCCATCTGATGCGATGATTGAGCGCAAAAGACTGGCGCGGCGAAAGCCCGCGCCCAGGCGTGCCAGTCATGTCATTAGCTGGCCCACATCTTGGTCCATCACATCTCACATGCGACCCGTTGAGGGGGCTAAGATGAGAAATTACACCGGACCACAGAATATACGTACTAGGCGGAATGTGCAGTAGGTGGGCCAACTCATAAATTGTCAACCGAAATTTCGAAATGCGCTTTCGTTTCGAAAAGATTAATTAAGTAGGGTTGCAAAGTAGCCAGCCTGCAATACAATCCTATAATATTTCAGTTACCTCAGGATGCCGGCTTTCGAATGAACCACCTTCCGGCTGCATGCGAAAACCACATTGTAAAAAATGGCTACTTAAGTAGCCTGAATTTTTTTCATGGAAAACGCACAAAAATGTTCTTTTGCTCATTCGGTAGATAATTACGTCCTCTTATAATTTTATACTCGAAAGTGGGATATAATTCGGTTTTAGTAAAGATTCTAATTTTGGTACTTTTAAATGCCGTGAAATGACCACCAATGTGGACTGTAAAGTTAACAATCTGGATAAAATCCCCTGCTAAATGTTATGAACCCTATATGGTCCCCCTTAAGCATCGTAGAGGAATGTGTGGTTTTCCGTATGCGGAAAATATGCGGTTTGTAGTTTGGAAACCCTGAATCCAAGTGTAACGGTAGAGCGGGTTCAGAATTATTCGGGAATTGGAAAAGTTTTCAAAAACCGAATTATACCCTTCCTTCGAGTATAAAATTGGAAGAAGACATAATTTTCTACCGAATGAGCGAAAGAATGAATATTTTTATGCATGTTTTCTATTAGATATAATTCGACATTTATAGGCATCGAAAATCAATAAGAAAAATGCAAGCCATTTAGGTAGCCATTGTTACAGAGTGTGGTTTTTGCATGTAGCCGGAAGGAAGTTCGTTTAAAAGCCGGCATCTCGAGGTAACTGTAATATTATAGAATTGTTGAAGGTAGGCCACTTTTGCAACCCTTCTTAATCAATCTTTTCGAAACGAAAACGCATTTCGGAATTTCGGTTGACACTCCATGAGTTAGCCCATCTACTGTAGAACCTAGACCACGGAGTTTTTCATCCGCAATCACTGACGGGAAATCTTCTTCAGCATGTGAGAGGGGTTACTTAGCAGATGGAAAGTGGATTTTCTATGTTGGGTATTTGGACTGAGTAACGAGACCGCCTACTGACTACGATCGTACACTCATCAGAACAGGAAAGTCTTTATGCAAACAACTTCCTAAAACTCTACTTTCATCCACATCTTTCCGTCTGGTTGGAAAACAGTGTTTAAAGATTGTTTTTCGGAAATGTTTGCCCATTTAAAAGCAAGCATGTGTTGTCTCTCGCATGTTCTGCCTCTCTCTCTCTCATCTCTTGAATTTCATTCTCTGAGTAGATCGTGAATGTGATACAGTCCTCTGTGAGCTCTCAGTTGAACAAAAACACACATTCAGATGTGAAAACTGCCGCCTCTGTCTGAAGAGCAAGCCGTAAATGTTTACGCCTAGTTGTAATTAACGCGGATGTGGAGAAGATAAGGTGTGTATGTGTGTGTGTTGTGACTGAAGAGCTTATCAGATCCGGCGTAGACTGCCACACACACAGGATATACCGAGCAAGTAGGCAAAGTTTGTGGAACTCCCGCACTTCACTGATGGGTGGGAGGAAAAGATTCGAAGGCTGCATTCAAAAGCAGTTTAAAGGATGGTACCGGCTGGATGAGGGCTTACAGAGCAGGCGACACTCAAGCAAGCTGCACAATGTCTAGCGGCGGCCATAACGGAGTCGACATGGCGCGCTGAATTGCAAAAAAAACCAATTTGCCTATTTCTGCTCTCGAAAAATGTCTGCAACTAATTAAATAATTGTTTTAACTTGTAAATTAAATTGGATTATATGCGCGTACAGTGCGTGTCCGATGTCATGAAATGTTGGCCGACATTCTGAAATGTGTTTTTGATAAGGAAGGATTACTTAGGTGGGTTTGTAATATTGACTAGCACGCAGCATAATCCTATAACATTTCGAACTCACTAGGATGTCGGCTTTTAGACGCACTCCTTTCTGACCTTCTGTAGAAACGACGATCTGCAAAAAATGACTGCTTAAATGGCATGAACTTTTTGTACTGATTTTCGATGGTCTTGCAAATTCAAGCATATTTTATAGAAATCGTGCACAAAAATATACCTTCTTTTACTCGTTCGGTAGAAAATCGCATTGTTTTCATATTTTATACCTGAAGAAAGTATATATTTAGGTGCTAACCAAGTTTTCCAATTCCCGAATAATTATGAGCCAGATCTGCCAAAGCATTAGCGTTTAGCAATTTCAGTTTACAGGCTGCATTCTTTCCGCGTAAGGAAACTCATTTACGCCTTTAAGAAGATGCCATATAGAGTTCATAACAATTTGCAATGGATTTGGACTGTGATGTACATTCCATGAGAAACCTTAGTAAACGCACATATACGATGTTGTATATATGGATATCGCACGGTCTTGAAAATCTCATAATTAGAAACTTTTTAAAAATCGACTGGATGAGGGCTCAGATAGCGGGTAACACTCAAGCAAGCAGCGCAATGTCTAGCGGCGGCCATAATGGAGTTGATATTGCGCACTGAATCTCAAAAAAAACCAATTTGCCTATTTCTGCTCTCGAGAAATGTCCGCAATTAATAAAATAATTGCTTTACCTTGTAAATTAAACGGAATTATATGCAGGTAGATATGGGGAAGACAGGTGTGACCGTTTAAGGCTAACTGATGACGGCTAACAAGCCTGAAATGACCGTCCCCTGTCCTTGCTAGGACTCCTTCTCGTTCACACTACTTGTCGCTATCCGACTGTCTTCGAGGGGTTTAGACTGAACTTCAGGGAGCAACGGAAAGAGAACGGCACATGTGCTATCTCATGAAATGTTGCTCGAAATTCTGAATGTGATTTCTGATAAACTTACAAACGCAGATGCAATTTATGAAAAACAAGCACAAAAATATTCCGATATTTACTCATTTGATTATAAGTTGCATTTTCTTCAGATATTTTATCTGACGAAAAAGCGCCATTCTATTTTGAAAAAAGTCCTATTAAGAGATTCTTCAAGAATATGAAGTGCCTAATCGTTCAGCCTCCCAGCGGCACATTTGTTAATGTTGCCTGATCAACATCCCTTATAAACTTTTATGATAGATGTTTTGGCAGATTGTGAATAATTCATATTGACCCAACTGTGAAAAACTCGGCGCCTCGGTAGGATTTGAACCCATTCAGTAAGGGGAAGGCTTTACTACAGCTAACACCCCAACCACCTGAACTATGAGACCCCACCGGGAGCCGTGAGTTTAATCACTTTTGGGTCAAGTTATCCGCCCAACTTACTGCAACGTCTAGAATCCACCAAATCTCATACAGCAAGTTGACTGCCCAAGCAGGATTTCCTAAGGAATTCACCTAGAATCCACCAGATGACTACCAAGCTCACGTAATTTATAGAGGTTTTGGCAGATTTTGAATAATTCATATTGGCCCATCTGTGAAAAACTCGGCGCCTCGGTGGAATTCGAACCCACGCAGTAAGGGGCAGGCCTTAATACAACCAACGCTCTAACCCGGCCCCGACGGACGACGCGGTGAATTACTTAGGAAATCCTGCCTGGGCAGTCAACTCACTGTATCAAACTTTGTGGATTGCAGGCGTTACAGTAGATTAAGCGGGTAACTTGACCCAAATGTGATTAAACTCGAGTCGTCCGGCGGGGCCTCGTAACTCAAGCGCTTAAAGCGTTGGTTCTACTAAAGCCTTACCCTTACTGCATGGGTTCGTATCCCACCGAGGCGTCGAGTTTTTCACAGTTGGACCAATATGAAAAATTTTATGCGCTTTATTTGTCCTCTTCATAATAGCATAATATCGTCACCCTGCCCGCCGACAAGGGGCGCTTGACTGTCGTCATGGATAAGGCTGAGTACTGCGCAAAACTAGGAAACCTCTTGATGGACAAGGAAGCTTATGCGCCATCGACCGTCAGCGAGTTTAAGAAGCTCGTAAACAGCATAAACAATACGATCGGCAAGCTGAGGAAGGCGGGAGCTCTTACGAGAAGGGAAGCGTTGGCCGCCAAAGCCAGTGATACCGCGATGGCGCGCTTCTACGGCCTACCAAAGGTCCACAAGCAGGGGGTGCCGCTACGCCCCATCGTCTCCTTACGTGGCACTCCAACCTTTGGGCTGTCAAAGTGGCTGTACCAGTGACTTTGTTTCCTTACCAAGGATTCGGAGTGGACAGTGAAGTCGGCTGAAGAGTTCTTGACGCGCATCAAACATCTCGAGGTGGAGGCAGATGAGGTGATGGTGTCATTCGACGTGATCTCATTATTCACCTCCATCCCACCCGTGCTGGCTATCGACACTATTGATGGCTTTCTCCGGGAAAAGTATGATGAGACCGACCAACATCTCAAACGAGCACACATCATCGAGCTCCTAGAACTGTGTCTTAAGACCTTCTTTACATTCAACGGCCAAGTCTACGAGCAAAAGAAGGGGACACCGATTGGCTCGCCTCTGTCTGGACTAATTGCCGAAGCAGTTTTGCAGAAACTCGAGCAGCAGGTCTTCAGCTCGTACCCCCCGAAGTTCTGGGCCAGATACGTCGACGACACGTTCGTTGTAATCAAGAGGAGCGAGGTGAAGGCTTTCAAGACATTGTTGAACTCAATCTTCCCTGACATTCAGTTTACTATGGAAGAGGAAGTAAACAATCAGTTGCCCTTCCTGGACGTACAAGTTACGAGATTGACAGACGGGAAGATAAGGACAACGGTTTACCGTAAGGCAACAAATACTAGGCGCATCCTCCACTTCCGAAGCAACCACCCTGTTGGTCATAAACGCAGTTGTGTCAGAACTCTCTTTCAACGTGTTCAAACACACTGCAGCGACGACAGTGGGAGGAAGGCGGAGATGAACTACTTACAGGGCCTTTTTAGAGTCAACGGCTACCCGAAATCCTTCATACGCAATTGCCTCAAAAAGCCTCATTTTGAGCGGTCGAGTGGAGAAAAGCCCAAGTTCTGGCTCTCAATACCGTATGTGAAGAACGTATCAGAGGCAACGGCAAGAATCCTGAAACCTTTTGGGATTGGCGTGGCTCATAAACCAGAATGCACCATAAAACAGCAAATCATGAAGCCCAAGGACCCGCTACCAACAACAGAACAGTCGGCGGTGGTCTACAGCAAACCATGCCTAAATTGCAATGCAAGGTATGTTGGTGAAACGGGCAAACGCATCGGCACAAGATTGCACGAACACCAACTTGCAATCAACCGCAAGGACAAGCTGTCTTTGGTCTATGGCCACATACGAGAACTGAACCACAATTTTGCCTTTGAGAAAGCGAGGGTAATTGGTCGAGCCAATGAGGAGATGGCCAGACTGGTGCTTGAAAGTTGGTCCTCGACTGGTACACTCAACCGAGCTATAGATCTACATCCCGCCTACCAAGCACTGCGTACAAGGCTCGGATCAGTCCGGACAGGACCAGTAAGGCAAGCGAGCACGCGGGACCAAGAGTCAACGCTCACGGAAAAGAGCGGAATTGGGGGCCAGAGGTCATGTGACCAAAGCCGAACACTGTCTCACCGATGCGCCCGCGAAGCTGAATGCTGCTCACCTGAACAGCAACGACGGATCAGTCCACCGGCTGACGTGGGAGGGACCAAGCGGCACGTTGATTTGACCACAACTAAGCCGACCCCAAAGGGAACAATGGTCACACAGGCCTATCAGCGGTCAGCTCCGGGGAGGTCTAAGCCAGTCAGCGGCAAACAGGCAGGTCAAAGTTCGTGCGTCCAGCACGGCTATAATACGAGGCAAGCGGCAAGACTGAATAACTCAAGACCCGCAAGTGCAACAATTACGCTACTCTGATGATGGAAACGAGAAAGTTTCCGAAACGTCAGTTCGAATACAATATGGTCCATGGATTCGCCCTCTCTTCTTCTTCGTCTTCTTCGGGAGATGACGAACGCGATACAATGTCTGGACCTCGAATCTTTACGCATATCGATAATAGCAAATATAAATGTATGATTTTCTTTGCACAGAAAATGCACATCTTGGGGTTTGTTCACCCCGAATGCCAATGTAACGGTAGGCCCGGTTTAAAATTATTCGGAAATTGAGAAAGTCTTCTGAAACCGAAAGACTGTTTCTTTAACTGTGGAATTTGAAGAAGATGTAATCTGCTATCAAATGAGTAAAATAAAGAATATTTTTGCGCGTGTCTTCTGCGAGATGTATTTTAATTTATAAGGGCATCGAAAATCAATGGGAAAATAATCACGCTATTAACAGTGTCATCTTTAACGGAATTTAGTTTACACAATCGGTCTATAAGGAGCTCATTCGAAAGCCGGCATCCTGACGTAACTGGGGTATTGTATGTCAATGCGTCAAGATAATTAATATAACAACCATATATAAGTAACGGCACATTTCGGAATTTCGTCAGCATTTTATGAGATAGCAAATGTACTATATGTCCCGAAACAGAATCGATGAATGCTCTGCGTACGATAGTTAGTATTTCCGATCGCAACCGATGGATAAGTCGACCACGGCCCAGTGATAGAGCATTCGAATCAGTGGTCAGAAATTCTGGGTTCCAGTCCTAGATGCTGCGAATCCGTGATTAGGTAGGGCGGACTGACGATGGCTAACAAGTCAGAAATGGCAATCCTAATTTCCTTTGAATTTGCCGACACCCCTACTTGACACTATACGACTGACTTCGAAAGCTCTAGCCTGAGCCACAGTATACAAACGGACAAGCCCGTTGCGCAAACCGATCGGTGATCGCCCTTCTCACCTAAATATATATTCATAGAAGATCGGGGTGCACATCGATCCGCCAGCTTGCGAAGCAAACAAAATCCGCAGGATTGTTAGACGTCGTAAATAGACATCCTCTTGTTAGGCCAAACTCGGCCAAAACGGGAGTGCTGATTCTAACTTATTCTTCTTTTATTCGTCTAATCATAATTTTGACCAGTATCCGACAGCAGAAACACAAATATAGATGCACACGTATCGCGCAGATAATCTGCATAAGGGTCTGTCATCTGCGTCATAAGTATTCCATCGTGCAGCGCTCATCGGAGCCTCGTCATCTGTTCTCCTCTCTAAGGCTGACCTACTGACTTTCTAAGGCAATCGAATTTCTAACAGACGTCAGTGTTCACGAACAGATAGTTCTGGTTCTGCGTTCAGCCATCGGGCCCGTAGTAAAGAAGCAGGTTTTATCGTACCTCCACCCACGTATTCTATAGTCTGTTGGTACTTGCTTCGGCGAGGTTTGGTCTTGCAGCTCCACTTGAATGTTACTATATGGCAAGTTTTCTAAAAAATTTATTAGATGCAAAAACGCTGAATTACAAATATTACGTATTTGCATCTTCCTAACCATTTTAATCTGGCGAGTGACTGTGCCATGAGAGAGGAGTGCTTATACCCTAACCTTGGTTACTTCATGTATCGGTTCAAACGCGCTTCCTTGCGAGTGCTTCTAGCCCTGTTTTGCACTCTCTTTATTATCCTTATCCAGCGAGCGGCTAAGAAGATTTGCTAATGGAATTATTCCGGCGGTGTGGAAACCCATCGGTTCAATTTCAGTGTCCATTTACCGCAAAGTACCACGCAGTTCGCACAGTGGCTTTCCAGATGTGATTACACCCTCCTTATCCTCTACATCCAGCGAGTGGCTGTGTCGGAGGGGGGGGGGGGGTGAATGTGTGCACACCACCTTCACTCGCTTCCCGGCGTGTGCTTCGAGCTCTGCTTGAACCCTTTCCCTTCCTAATCCAGCGAGTGGCTAACTCAGGTATGTTAACTGATATTGTTTAAGTAGGCTGACCATATGTCATCAATCAAGTGGGCTGCTGAACCAAACCTCGCCCTTGCCTCATTAAACATCGATCGAACTGCATTATTCGGTTGTGATTGGTTGAACTCTGCTCCATTTTGTCCTCGGGGAACCACGTCTATCTGCCACCCTTCTCCGGCATCCTCTATCAATTAGGGAAACTTCTATTGTTTTAGCAGCCTAAGAATCCCCGGTTCAGTCGTCGCAGTTCGGAATCCCGTACAAAAAGAGTGAAATCCTTCCCCAGAGGGACAAGATGCAGCAACGTACTGGGAGGTGATACTCCTGATCTTACAGACATTCGCGTCTTCGCCCCTCGAGTCTGTTTTTATCCGTTTTGTGGTCGCTGACACAAAGCTCCGTACGTCCGCTTTCACAGCAAAACCGCCTATTCAACTACGATCCCTTTGGTCATCTAATATTTATCATTAAAAAATCGGTCTGCTTGGACCGTCAGAATGTACAGCTCTATGACGCCATCGCTTCAACCTCAACTTGTTTTTTATTGTTTTTCTTTTCAGTCTGGAGCTTTATTTTTCCGCTTCAAATGCAACCAAGGTCAACTGGTAATATAAACCGGATTTACTGATAGCGTGAAATTTCGCGACCACACAAATGGTAGCCAACGGTATCTGTGTATGTAGCTGGACCGCAGTGGGCGTGAAATTTGAAAGAAACTTTATAAAGGCGGGCGTGAGGAGGGTGCTTTCGACAACAGGGGTATGCATTCAAACACGTGCGTGAGCCGGAAGCTAGGGCGTTGGCTGAGGTGGAAGACTGGAGGAAGTCAAGCGAGTGGAATGGTAGGAAAACATGGAATGCGGGTCATTCATTCGAGAGGCCTTGGTTGAACTGAAAATAGAGCGAGTGTTTTGGGATGAAAACCCCCGTCAGGGAGCTGCGAGGTTGGTCTCGTGACTCAGCTGTTTGTCCGTCTGCAGCTTTTCATGCCTCTGAATACGATAGGAGCAGAAGTGTTCAAATGGTGCAGCATCCTAAAGGACATTATCGAGTTCGCAGCTCGACAGTTCCAGATAGGAAACTCCACCACTGCCCCGGGAAGTGGCCCTAACGGTGACGCGTGTTCAGTCCAGGCCAGTTCAGTTCAGTTTCATTGAGGCGATGCAGGCGAACGTCTTGGAAAAGCAGGCAGCTGTATGTTCGTCGACAAAGAGTAAACATGAACGGCTACTCACCTATTGTAAGTAGCACAAACATATGTAGGTTGGGCGACAGGTCATGTGTGGCTGGCAGTTGGAATGTCAAAAGGTCTGACAGCGTGTGCTATGCCAGTATCAGCAAACCATGGCCGTCGCAGCCTGGTATGGCCCTGACACATGGTTCCCTGCCGGTAGATGCGCCTGTGCTCCTGCTGGGCATGCAGGTGGTGGGCATGGCTGCCCAGCCATCCTCGTCCTTCTGATCCCTGTTGCGTCGTTGTTGTTGTTGTTGGTGGTGGTGGTGGTGGTGGTGGTGGTGGTGGTGGTGAAAAATCCCTAGCAGGTGTATGTTGTGGATCAGGGGGTGTGGTGGCACGCTTAGGTGCGAGTCCGGCCGTGCCGGTGATGTGGAATTTGGAAAAATGTATGAGTGGTGCATATTTTGGTGGGAGAATGTGTAGTGATATGTTCGTGTCTGCGGTGAATTATCGCAAGTTTTGAGAAGGCGCATATGACCTAATATGCCCATGCGGAGAGTGAATATGCGTGTATAGGGCGGACAGTGGAGGTGGGTGTATTAGGCTCGGAGAATGTATGTCGGGGTATTGGGCGCTGGCTCATCGCTCACAATAAGACGGGTTCGCAAGTGACCGACCAGGCCAATGCGCGAAATGAATGGCGATTGCAATCGGAAGAAGTTGCGACCAAGTCCACATTGCCGGAGGTAAGGATTGTGAGAGTGAAGGTGTCGGTGGTCGGCAGCGAGTCAGGAGCGTTTTCCCCGATGACGGTGGAACAAGGGGTTTGGAGCAGTGGTTGTTGAGGGTTGGCGCCGTCGTGGGCGGCGCGGGCGTTGAGAGAGGGTAGGTTGGGCAGTTGTCGGACGGCTGCTGCATTGGGTCCGAAGATGACCGACGAGGCCAATCTGCACGCGGAATGTCTGTTGATGGCGCGGGCAGGTCGAGTGACGAATTTGCCTGCCAGAGGCGCGCAGGACTTGCCAGCTTTTCACTTCTTTTTGCCGGTGGCGATCCGGTTTTGTTCGTAGACTGTTGTGCCGGTCCTCACTGCTCTACTCCAGAATAACCTGTTCTACGCGAGGACATTCGAGGTCTTCGAGCTGATCTTCAGTCGCTTCAGGGAGTTCTCCAGAGCGCCCTTGTAGCGTCATTTTCGTCCTCCCGGGCGGCGAGCATCTGTAGCGACATTAACATAGGAGACTCATTCGGATAATCACGCATCATCCCTCCTCACCACATGACCGCTCCACTGCAATTGCAGTTGGCTCAGCGTGACGTGGATGGTGAGGAATTCGGTCAGTTCCAGGACTCTCGTGTCCAGGATCGTGTCCTGTTACCTCAACTCCAGTATTCTGCGGAGATGTTGGTTGTTGAGTCTTTTGGCATGGTTGAGGTGAACCGTCCAGGTCTGCCTTCCGTGGAGAAGTTTCGTCAGGACGACAGATTTATACATCTTCAGCTTGACGTTTATGTGGAGGCCGGGGCCGTTGCGTACGGGAGTTCTGTAGCCGGCAGAAGGCTTGGCTGGCTTTGAAGATCTTATGGACCACTTCGTCGTCAATTTTGATGCGGCGCGAGAGTGTGCCACCTAATTAGGCGAAGTTGTTCAAGGTCTCCAGATCGGTGCTGTTGACTTGCATGTGAGGATCACTGTATGCAGCGTTGAGTGTCGGTTTGTGCATGACTACTATTTCGTACGTGTTGATGGTTATTTAGAAGTCGGCGAATCCGGCGGCGAAAGGATCTATGCTCCGTTGCATTGCAGCATCTGTCCCCGTGTTAAGCGCGCAGTCGTCCGCAAAGAACAGGTTGTGGACAGGTTGTGGCCAAGACCTTTTTGGGAGAGTTTACGGAACTTTTGTTCGGCCTTACATAGAATATGGTATGCAAGTATGGCGACCATGGCTAGTAAAGGAACAAGCATTCCTCGAACGGCTACAACGCCGGGCAACAAAGCTGGTAAACGGTCTAAAAAGACAATCCTACACAGACAGACTAAATTTCCTTTATATATAACTTACTGAGTGCTGCTCATCATGGATTCCTCAAAGCTCGATCTTCTGACACCTGTCAACTCTCCTTCTTTGACTATGTTCTCCAATCCAGGGACACTGGTTTTGCACTTCACACTTTATATTTCGATTTCACTAAGGCTTTTGACCGTGTTGACCATGCTCTTCTTCTCTTGAAACTGTCCTCTTTCGGAATAGGTGGCAAGCTTTTGAATTTTATATCCTCTTACCTGGGCACTCGCACACAACGAGTTAAGATTTCCAATACTATCTCCAACCCCACACGTGTGAGAAGCGGATTCATTCAGGGTAGTGTACTCGACCCGCTTTTATTTTCCCTTTTCGTTGATGATGTACCCGACTTATTTCAGAATGGTAAGCCCTTCATGTATGCCAATTAACTGAAAGTTGCATATCGATATAAGCCGGCAGATCATGACATCGTGCTTGAGCTCCTAAAGAGCGACCTACAGGCTTTCGCCCAGTGGTGCCGCACATGGCGCCTTTCTCTTTCTTGGCATAAGCGCCCAGTCATTATGGTTGGCGATGACCGCCAACCTCAACTAAGTATTGAAGGTCACGCAATAAATGTGCCAGGGGTTATAAAGGATTTGGGCGTATCATACTCCAAGAGTCTCAATCTCTCGGAGCACTGTGCCTTGATAGTCTCCAAAGCACGTAGGACGACCGGGTTTATCCTCCGAAATTTTAAAACTAGGGACATTAGAATGCGCCTTTACAACATGTACGTTAGACCTGGTCTGGAATACTGTTCGTTTTCATTTAGCCTCATGCGTGCTACTGAGCGGAAGAAAATAGAATCCGTTCAACACTTTTATACCAAGAGAATTTTAACCCCGGAACACCGACATTTATCTTGCCAGGAACGTTGCCGGCTTACAGGCCTCGATCCTTTATGGTTCCGTAGATTACAAAAGGGACTATTTTTGCTATTTAAACTCTTATATAATCACACATTTAACCCACTCACCTCTTTAAGACATCATATCCACCCACGACGTAACAGTCACCGTGAGGTCTTTTTATTTCTACCTCTGGCACGTACTGTTAAATATCGTCGGTTATTTTCTGTAAATGCAATTGCTATTTGGAATAAACTACCCATGAGTGTGAAAACTCTGCAAAATTATCCTTTATTTAAGAGAACTATTACTCGATTTTTGCATTCAGAAAAGCTCCCACAAATTTTGGGGCTGAATCTACTGATCGACTGTACCGTAGCGATGGCGTTTGTGGTCTCTGAATACTATGGCCGGTCTCACCAGCTGTTCCTCAACGCCTCTACTTTGACTATCCCCAACTTCATGAAAGGAATTTGACGTCTGATAATCTCCGATACCGTGCAACCTCCCCCCTTCTTGATGGTCGATATTCTACCACCGCCGGCAGTTTTTTCTCCTGAGCCCTCCAAACCACAAAAACCACCATCAACTATATTTTTATCCCTTAAGTTCAGGAGTTTTTTTCACTGCTGGTCGGATTTGTGTTTAATCGCTTCCCTTGACAATGCCTGTAAACTGGCATTAAATAAAAATTTATTTATTTTATTTATCTGTTACAGGCAGCAAAGAGGTGATCTTATCCTCATCTATAAGATAATGCATGGCCTTGAGCATGGACTCAGCTTTGAGGACATGTTTCAGTGCCACCTTTCGCCCAATCTTCGTGGACACTCGATGAGGCTACGGACAACAACGTCCAGGCTGAATTCCCCACACAAAGGGTAGTGGGGAAATGGAACGATCTCCCTCAGTTAGTCATGGAGGCGACGTCTCAACAACTCTTCAAGAAAAGTTTGGATGATTATTTGTGTTCTCTGTTTTCCTTCGACAGTCTGAATCTGACCTAAAAACCCCACGATCCCGTAAATTTTTGCTCTGACACAATGCTACTCAAATGAATCAAGTGCTGATTTAATAGCGAATATTTTCACTGTTCGTGTATAGTTATTTCCAACGAGCTGACATGTAGTCAATAAGGTTTTCAAAGGCTTTGCTTATTATCCTTGCCAAATAAACTGGATAAACTGAAAATGGAAAACAGTCATAAAGAGACGCGTTGAGGCCTGCATGTGCCAGATTTCGAGAAGATGATCATCGATCCTAGAAGCGGTGCGAATTCCAGAGCGCTTATTACGGTTGGCGCCTATCCGCTTGGCAGAAAACATGAGGTCGAAGGGGGTAGGGTCATGTAAACAGCCCTGCTTCACTTCGTTGGTTACTGCGAATGTTCCTGAGACGGTCTCGTTTTCCGTGACACGCGACATCGTCTCGTCGTGGCGACGACGCTCCATGTGCATGAATCGTTCAGAACAGCCTCGACCTGTGATATTTTCTGGCGTGCTAAGAGATTATCCGTAGATAAACAGCCAACCGATGAGGTCCACTGTGCTGAAAACCGTTCGTGAAATGTCTTGAAACTTTTCTCCCCAAAAGTACGAACAAACAGAAAAAAGCAGCATCCCACCCTTCGAGACGCTTTCGTGAATCCTATAGCTGATGCTCAGCTGACCGCTCACAGTTCCAATGCTTTCCTGTCCAAAACTTTTATTAACAACTCGACCGCTTCGCTTCCAACCATCCAGGCATTAACTGGGGCAGTTCTAGAGACTATAACTTTCACTATGTGGGACGTAATTGTAGCGATTCGGCGCCTTCATCGATCACATCGCCCTGAAATGGCAGATGTAAAGGTAATTTTCCTGGCCCTCTAGTTCAAGATATTTATTCTCGTTTATAAAAGTAGAACCTATCCTACATTGTGGAAGGAACCACACATTTTGCATATTCCAAAGCACAGCCAATCTACGTCATTTGATGACTTTCGGTCAATAAACACACCCCCCGCACTCTCGAAAATCTTAGACACATTGATCATCACTTAACAGAGGATAACCTACTGAGTGCTGCTTAGCATGGATTCCACAAAGTTCGGTCTTGTGACACCTGTCAGCTCTCTTTCTTTGACCATGTTCTCCAATCTAGGGACAATGGTTTTGCACTTTACACTGTATATTTCGATTTCACTAAGGCTTTTGATCGTGCTGACCATGCTGTTCTTCTCTTGAAACTGTCCTCTTTTGGAATAGGTGGGAAACTCTTGAATATTATACCGTCTTACCTGGGCACTCGTACACAACGAGTTAAGATTTCCAATACTATCTCCAACATCGCACGTTTGAGGAGTGGAGTCATTCAGGCTAGTGTTCTCGGCCCGCTTTTATTTTGCCTTTTTGTTAACAATGCATCCGATTTATTTCAGAATAGTAAGCCCTTCATGTATGCCGATGATCTTAAAGTTGCATATCGACATAAGCCGGCAAATCATGACATCGTGTTTGAGCTCCAAAAGAGCGACCTACAGGTTTTCGCCAGTGGTGCCGCACATGACGCCTTTCTCTTTCTTGGCATAGGTGCTCAGTCATTTTGGTTGGCGACGACCGCCAACCTCAAATAAGCATTGACGGTCACGCCATAAATGTGCCTAGGGTTATTAAGGATTTGGGTGTGGCATACTCCAAGAGTCTCAATCTCTCGGAACACTGTGCCTTGATAGTCTCCAAAGCACGTAGAACGACCGGGTTTATCCTCAAAAACTTTAAAACCAGCGATATCAGAATGCGCCTATATAACATGTACGTTGGAACTGGCCGGGAATACCGTTCGTTTTTATTTAACCTAATGCGTGCTGCTGGGCGGAAAAAAACTAGAACCCGTACAACAGCTTTTTACCGAGAGAGTTTTAACCCCATTTTAACCAGAGGAATGTATGTCGGAAGCTGTTGAGGAGGGAACGGCCACAATTTCAGTCAAAACTTCTAAAAAATACCACCGCAAAATTCAAAAAATTCTTTGGATACGTGAATAGGGCAAAACGCAACCGAGACTGCATTCCCTGCCTAAAAGATCGCCAGGGCAATACGCTGTCTGACAACTCAGATAAGGCGAATCTGTTGTCCGACTTCTTCACGTCTATGTATACCGAGGAGCCGGCTTTTGATGAAAGAGTTTACCCCCCAATTGTCAAATCAAACCGTACAATTAGCACGGTGGACTTCACAACAGACACGGTAAGGAAAACTTTGAGGCAACTACAGCCCACTAAATCCCCTGGTCTGTACGGCGTGTTCGCAAAAGTCCTTAATGTACTCTCAGACCATCTGGCCTCTCCGTTATCCAGGATCTTCAGAACTTCGATGGAGATTGGCGCTTTGCCTACCGACTGGAAGAAAGCAAATATAAGTCCCATATATAATGGTTGCGAGAGAACAGCCCCAAATAGTTTCAGACCAGTGAGTCTCACTAGCATCTGTTGCAAGTTGATAGAAAATTTAATAAAAACGGAGTTGATGCGGCACCCCGCAGACGAAAACTTGCTTAGTTAACATCGGCATGGATTTCGAAGGGGTCGATCCTGTCTCACTAACCTCTTAGTATCCGTGGAAAGCTGGACGAAATCAATCGACATGGGTATATCAGTCGACTTCAAAAAGGCTTTTGAC